ACCAAACCCTTCGTTTTATGCGGCCACTCCCTTTTGGCTCCATACTGAAGCCGACCGCTGCATATATGAGGCCCACTTCCATGTCCATGACTGTAAGGCTTTTGGCAGTACACTTGCACAGTTTCATCCAATTCCACCAAATTGCTAATAAGTTATGTCAATTTCAATTCACCAGTGTATATTCGTGATCAGGACGCCAAATAACCCCTATACACACGTTTTCAGCGGATTTGGTGGAAACAGCCGTAGCGCCAAACAGGCGCCAAACGGCGCCTAAATGGCGCCAGCGCCAAAACGGGTGTCGTTTTCGTAATCAGGACCCCAAATAACCCAAATGACGAAGTTTCAGCAGATTTGGTGAAAACAGCCGTGGCGCCAAATGGCGCCAAATGACACCAGCATCAAAAATGAATGTCATATTCGTAATCAGGGCATCGAATTACCCCAATAGACAAAGTTTCGACGAAAAATGAAACTTTGAGATTTTGGGGCAGTAATCGTGGGCCCAATCCGGCAATAGGGGAAGGCTGAAAACGGTGAAAACCAAAGTTTCAACTGGGGAAGTAATGCATATCATTCGATAGCATTTTTCACGGGGAAGCTAACGGGGCACATTTCAGGTCTGCGAGTTCATCTGGAAATGCAAAAAATCTGAACATTCCACAAGGGCATGACGAGGAGGCATGTTTGGGGCCACACCACGGAAGGAACGCTCACTTGCGACCGAGTTTTCCACATAATTCCTACAGACAAGTGACCATAGTCTACGACAGTGAAGGAAATTCTTCGCTTCCTTTACAGCTTTCTACAAAACATTCCTCTAAAAATGGGACTTGTCACGTAATAGGGGGCAAAGGCATGACAAGGGGTGATGTTTGGGGTCACACCACGGAAGAAACGCTCACCTGCGACCAAGGTTTCCATATAATCCTTACAGACAAGTGACCGTAGTCTACGACAGTGAAGGAAATTGTTCGCTATCTTCACAGCTTTCTGCAAAACATGTCCTCTGAAAATGGAAAATGTCACATAATAGGCCCACTATGCCTGCTGAGAACTGTTCAAAGATTCCACTTGATATACAGAGGATGGGATATTGAGAGCAGAGGGAACACGTAAAGCCAGTAAGCGCTTGAAAACGAAATGAAGATCTAAGAATTCGGAAAATAACATTCATCTAATCTCACAATGTAGTGGATGAGATTGAGTACGTGGCGCATTCTGGGGTAAGTTTTGAGGCCCTTCTTGTGTGTAGCGGTTAGCCCGCATAAGCGGGATTATATACACATCACATGCGAGCAACTACTTTTTGAGATGAAATCGAGTGCATGGCGCATTCCGAAATCAAGCTTTCTGAAAATATTTTAGCACCATCTTGTAGCGCTTGAAGAGCTGAGTTCAACGGTGTTTTCCGTTTCTGGAATACTTCACTCTGACCCGACTTATAACGAATTCACGAAATTAACGAGGATTCGCGTTATTCGCGTGAATTTTCGATTTCAAACGGCGAGTACTGTATGTCATAACCAAACGGTTTGTTAGCAAGAGTGCTAGGGTGAACAAAGTCGATCGTTAGCCAACATTGGACAAAAGAATGTATAATGAGTATTTTGTGGTGCTTAAGAGCATTTGAAAGGAGAAATGGAAGTGGTTCGTAGCTGGCGAAAATGGAGAGGTCGAAATCACAGGGTTCAAAGATAGAAGGAAGTGAACACAAATATCAGAAGTTGGAACGCAAAGGACAAAGTGTATTAAATACTTAACTCAGGATAAATTCACTCATAAACCTACCGCTGTTTTGATATAAATAAATATCGATGTATAGGAAATGGTAGCGAATATCACGTAAACCACTATAATCCAGTTATAATAAAGTTTGAGAAAGTGGGGTAAGGGATTGCTGTCATTTGTTGTCCACTGGATTGTCTTAGGATCAAAGTATAAAGCGATTGATGACAAGAACTTGACCACAAAAAATGCGGCAAAATTAAGGAATATTATAGACATCATTGCCTGAATTCTCTAATTCGTTCGTAATCCATTCACTGTACTCACAACAATGAAGCAGTACTCAAAATTCTGAAACGGGACCGTGCATCTACTTAGACTGGTATTAAACTTTAGGAAAGGTAGACAGAGTAATAGACATAAAAAATAAATTCATTGGGAAATGTGTGGAATCCGACTTCGACGGCATATTGGCAAATGTCTCCTAGAAAGGGAGGTCGCTCAGAACGTGCCAAGCTTTTTCAAAACGGTTCCTTCACGGTATAGGGGCACAACCACAAAACTATGGCTCATTTTTTATTAATGGCTTTCTGAAATACCAAAAAGTGGCGGAAGAGAACTACTCTGGAGACTGTCCTCTTTACTGCTTCATTGTGGCGCATTAATCACAACGTTTTCACGCTGTCTGTGAAAACAACGCGAACTTCGTGCAGAATGATGCGGTTGTCAAGCTATGTGTTGAAGAAAGTGTCATGGTTTCATAAGCAGTTTCGGTGCCAGGCTGCCGTCGATCCAGTAGTCATAAAATAACGTGATGGTCTCCAGTTGATACGAGGGCATGAGCGTGTTGGTTCGACTCCCTACGTAGTGCGGATTTTGCATTTTGATTTACATTTCAGCAGGAAGTCCGAATAGTACTCTCTCTCTATGTTAAACTCCATGTACATGATCAGCGTCATAACAAACTCACTGAAATGGGTTTTCTTCAACAACTGGGGAAACATGTCGCGGCCTCAAGATGTTGCCAATTTGCACCGGCGCCAAAAATAGAATGGTATTTTCGTGATTAGGGCACGATCTTACCCCAACAACAGTTTTGCTCAAAAATCTGGGTGCTCGGTGTTTAATTCCCCGGGGGGGCACCGTGGTCCCCCGCGCCCCTCCCCCGGGCGGCTTCGCTTGTCTCGGGAGTGTCGCGGATGCGACGGTGGCCCGCTGGGCGCACCGCGCGCCCCGGCCCACTTGCGCTCGGATGCCAACGCGCCAGCGCCATTGGCCCACGCCTCCCTGCGGTCGAGGCCAGTTAGTCGGCGCTACGCGCGCCGTCCTAGCGGCGGTGCTCGTAGGAGCTGGCCACCGGTGGCAGGTCGGTGTTCACCGGGCAACGCGATGAGGCCAGCTAAGGCGAAGGGGCACGTCGCTCCGTAGTCCATGTTGGCGGAGCGCCTGTCATCCCAAAGCCGGTCGTGTCCTTCCCCCTGCTCCCCGTCTGGGAGCAGCCCTTACAACATCCCAGATAGGACACGTCGGCCGCATGGAGCCCCCAGAAGATACCGAGCCTCGTGGGGGTTTACTACGTTGTGTCAGCTCTGAGAGAGGTGACCCCGGGGAGTTTGAGGAGATTGGTGAGTTATTACGTCAATAAATGTTAGTAAATATAATTGTGTTTTCTATGTATTATATGTGGGTTTACCCTAATTATATCGGTCTGTTGTGTGTCACTCGGGTTAGTAGGGCTGTTTACCTAGGTTAGCCCGTCGGCCACTAGTGAGTAGGTTGAGCTGCCGACGGGCGCCCCCTGTGTCCCCGGGGGGAAGTTGGGTCCGCTCCTCCTGGTGGGCGCTCAGGAGGCAGCGTGGTGGGCTGATGGGCAGCTCGGCGGGAGGTCGAGTGTCGGGGAGCATACACACCGTTCGCGACATGGTGCATCGGACCGTCGAAACGGACCCGCTCGGTTCCAAATTCGAGACCAGGAACCGGGTAGGGGACGGCCAGCTACCACTGTCCGCACCCGACCCATCAGCCATGCCGGAGCCGGTGGTCCCACAGGGGGACTTGGCAGGGCATTCGACTACTGGAGGCACCTTCTCCCATTTGGTGTGCGCTTTGGACGGTGGGCGCAGCGATCCTAACCGGGATGGCGAACTGGCGGTGGTAATCACTTTGGTCCGGCGGACTGTGGCAACTGCAGGCTGGAAAAACCCATTCGGAAGTAGGTGGACCAGCTCTCGAGATGTCCAGTGGGGATGGAGAGTATGCGGGCGAGGGTCGTCGTCAGCCGCGGTGTGAAGCCGGGCGCCTTCAAAAAGTCGTAGAGTGGAAGGTCAAGCGGCGCGTGGCGCGAGCAGCGCAGGGCTTACTTTATGGTGCACCATGGGTAAGCTGCCCCAGAAGAGAGGCTCGAAAGACCTCCTGTGGACTAACAAAAGGCCTACCTGGATCAGTGCCCTCAGCGCCCTTTAAAAGGTAAACCATCGGCTTGTACTCAGCCCTCCGGCCTTTCCAGGTAACTAGGGTCTCCCCACAATTAGTACGTAGGGGTTCAATTCCTTGTAGTTGTAGTTTAGTCCCTTTTTCCCACCCTTAGGTTAGATGCTACGTATTATACTTACCATTCGTTTACTCCCTTAATTTCCAGCTTTTTGCGTGAGTATTTCGTTTCGGAACTTAGTCTACCTTTACTTCGTTCTCTTGAGGAGAAGAGCAAAACTCTCATTTTGCCCAACTTCTCAAGTTTACATGGTTTCATACTTCGTTGGACTCGATTTTCGGTCCTTATTCCGTTGGTTCCGTGTTTTTCGGTCCCTATTCCGTCGATCCCTCGTTTCTATTTCATTTCCCAATCGATACGTCATGAAAGAGACATCCATCGGACTTTCCCACGACGAGCGAATCGATATTGGAGCAATTAAGCACTTTCCCAGGCTTAACGGCACCGATCGATCCGATTCGGCGTGGAAAGGCACCACTCTCTCATGCACGCTCATGGGAAAGCAGAGAAATAGTACGAGGCGAGACATTACCGTAATCCTCGCTCCATGGGAAACTGACTGATAGGCGAACATCGATTGGCAACTCTCATTCTAATCGACGTTTGTCTACGATTAGCCTTCTGATGGAAGATTTGAGGAAATACGAATTACTTCGTGCAATCCAGAATCTCCAACGAGCTGTGGATAACACCTCTCCTTCACTTCTGGAGGACGTCCAGCTCGCTGAAGATCCGGACGAGGCGGCTGTGCAGCTCAAGGACCGTGATAAGGCCCTTGCAGTTGCGCATCGCATCTTGACTCGTGAATTTAGTTTCGCGAATCAAGTTCGAGACGCAGCATTGCGTCATGCCCTTCAACGTGAGACTGAGGAGTCGCGCCGTGAACTCGTCAACGCTTACCTATCCCACTGGGCAACCAGTGGAGGGGAAGCGGCCGAGGACGCAGCAAGCGATCTTCTCGCTCGCCTTGAGGTAGCGATGCAGTCCTCTTCAGAAACAAAACCCTACTACATCAGCGACACTTAGCTCCTACAGGAGTTAGGTCTATTGCGTTTGTCCCTGAGCTTACGTCGCATCGTTCCGAAGAGGAACTCCTCCAGGAACAACACGATCGACGTCAAGATCACGCGGTGGCAGAGGTAGTTGTTAACCCGACTTCAGGTCAATCGCGACCCGAGGAAAGGATAATAACCCTCGATAATGCGTGTTAAGATCGTGCCTCGCATGATTAAGCAGCGTTCGAGCGATTCAGAGACTAAACAGTCTTTGAGCCCACCATGAAGAATTGCTTACTACGTTAGATTATTTCTGGTCAGTATGGCGAAAAGACTACCTTCAAGCGTTGGCAGAACGCACCCAAAGCGCGCCCAAACGCGCGCGAGGGTCCCGTTCATGGCCCAATCTTGGAGAAGTAGTGCTCATCGCACAGGAGAACATTCCTCGTGTGATGTGGCCTTTAGCCATCATCACCAGATTGAATACGTCAAGGGACGGAGCAATTCGGTCTGTACAAGTCAAGACAGGGAAAAGTTCCTTTACAGATCGGCCCGTCAACCAACTTATTCCGTTAGAACTTCACGCTACTACGTTCGACCAGGAAACAGATGGGATCCCGCCGAAGAAGTCCAGGAGGTCATCAACTCCTGCGACACAACCGACGAGGACCCAACCACCACGTGCTGCGAAGAGGACACAATCACGATGAGTTCAATGCCTTTAGAGTATTCACTCTTCTTTCTCTCTTCTCACTTTCGTCTCTCCCTCTCTCTTGTTTCTTTTCCTGCGAGTCAACTTACTCGCCGTAGTCAAATTCAACGTAATATTTTGAACTTAACCCTTTTGTTTGAATGTAGTCAAAACCCTACCTCTATTTTGGTATAACACTCCCCTAGTTATTCTTGTAATCCTTTGTCTCCTTTTATTTTCCTCCGTTGGCATTGTTTTCGTCGTAAGTGTTCCCTTTTTGTAACATTGTGTGTGTGTTTGCGCGAGTTCACACTGATTCTCAGTGAGAACTCTGACGCACATCTGTTTGCTTTATTACGTGCACGATGTATCAGTTAGCCTTACTGGAACCTAAGCAGGTCACTGCTTAGCGCGACGATCGACAGTGCGCCGATCATCGCCGCAGGACCCATGCCTACGCACATGGTCGTCCACGGTGACAGTCGACATTATTGATCGATAGCACCAGTCAAGTGCACTTTACACCTACACTAGTTGCTTACCGTTTTTTATCTTCCTTTTATTCCGTTCTCTAATCCTTATCACCACTGTTTACAGTGAACTTATTTCGTCCCTTCCAGGATAGTCTGCTATTCATTCTGATCTATCATGGCGAAGAAGTCGAGGCGTTCCACGAAGAAGGAAGTCAACGGGAAAGCCGACTACGTCTACCTGTTACGGAATTCACGTCCATCCAGGAATGCTGTTGAACAGGTAGATTCGTTGAACGAGTGTTTTATCATCTGTTCTTATTTCATCGGTAGATTCTTCGGCGGTTCCCCAGCCTGCCGCAAGTGAGCCAGCTGAGGTGGCACGCTGTACCATTGCTCCATCGGAGCAAGGTGCTGCGGAGACCCAGCAGGAACGCAGCGATGGGCAGGAGAACGAAGGAGCACCAGTCGTTTCTCAGCCGACCGCGAAAGCACCTAAATCGCTCACGTTTGAGAATCTCGTGGAAGCGGGCATCGCGGATTCTAATTCGCCCGAGGCCCACTTTTGCGCAGATTTTCATCTGTGACCGACGAGGGAGCAAGAAGTCGCGTGGTCCTACCGAACTTCTGGAAGCGCTTGGGACGATGTATCGGAGCAATCCGAGGATCAACCAGCGCCGACAGGAAGGGATCGCCCGGATCAGCAGCAAGCGGTTGAGCATCGCTCCAATGGAGGTGGATACCTCCGGTGCATCTGCTGAGGCTCAGCAGCAGCAGCGAGCCAGTTTACTCCGTTATTCGTGAGAAAACCAAGCGCACGCCGTTCGTCAAGCCCAAGACCGGACGATCTACGGCTCCTCAAGGTCCAGGGCAAGCGGACAGCGGCGTGGTAGACTCACGTAATACGTCTGCGCCACAAGCGCAATCTACTCCGTTCTCGGTACAGCCATCGTCGGACGCGCCGGTCGAGCTTACTTTCGACCCGCGTACCCACACGATAGCCCAGTACAAAGAGATATTACGTAACGTAGCAACAGCAATGCGCCACGCCTACGATGAACATTGTAGAGAAGTGGAGCAACTAAGATTACGCGTGCTTGCTACAGTCGTGGACGCGAGGTCAGGGTTACTTCCGTGCCCTAACCATGCGGCGCAGGACGTATGTCCCCTGCCGCCGGTCGCGCCCAATAGTTCGTTTCTCATTAATTTTAATACGGTTGAAGAACTAACAGCTATACAGTTGCGAGCAGTTCACAACTTTATCACGAGACCTACCACGGAGGATCAGAGCCAGCGCTCATCCCTAATTATCAGGGAGATCCACCGGGTTGTTCTCGTGCGAGCTTGTTAGTGATTATTAATTCGTACAACTCGTTGAATACTACGATAGATAATGCGATCGAACTTATGGGTCAGCTCGCAGTCGTTTTGCACGACACCGATCCATGGAAGCATTGCTTCGTGGCCCTCATGGCGTGGATCAACGAGCTCACTCACTGTTTGACAGCGATCAACGTACATCGTGATATCTTACAGGAGGAGATTCTTCCTTATTTGATAAGCATGGCGTACGAGATCGAACGTTTTCCACGTCTTTTAAGTCGTCATAAGATCACGCCGTTGTATTTGCATACTCTATTGACACGCTCGTCTGCCGTTTCGGCACATCTCACTAGATTCATTCGTTCGCTGGAGGCCCTTCAACTAAGCCAATTAGCGACGTTAGGTGAAGGGGATCCTGCGGCAAGGAATCTGCTGAGCGAGTTCCAAGCGGCACCACCGGGAGAATTCGCGGCGCAAAGCGTCACGGAGTATCTCAAGTGGTGGAGAGAACACTTCTCCGAGCAGTTTCGCAGTAGAGCAACGACGGCGTTCATGCAAAACGTCAGTGCGCACGTAGAGCGTAGTCTCGGCGAAGTCCATCCGCAAGAGTCTACAGCTCACGCGGCACTTACTACGTTAGAGGCGGAGTTGCAGAAGCCCAAATTCAAGTCAGGCGGATTTGGGCCTAAGCAACCCAGTCCAGTTGTATTACGTGAGGGTGAACGGCCACAACAGCCTCAACCTCAATCCGTAGCGAGACGCCAATCTCCGACCCCAGCACCTCCCCCGGTCACAGCTTCTTCTCAAAGTCGGGAGGCTGGACCCCAAGGGTCCAGTATCCAGGCCCGCGGTCGGAGCCAGGACAGGAAGAGGAGTCATGGACAGAGTC